CACACACACACACACACACATACACACACACATCAAAGCAGCAAGCAAACAGCAATATCAGCACAGTAATAACAGAAAAGTAATAATAAGCTTCCTATCTACGTGAGGACTTACCCTTAAGAGGTGTCCTCTAAGTAAGGAGGCTCTAAGAGCCTTACCTTGTGCCTTTAGTTGAAACTTTGAAACTCTGTCAACTGGGACTCTAACCCTTATAACTTCTTTAGTCAAACTGATATTTGACAAGGACTCAAACCTCTAAAATAGTCATTTTAAAATTCACCTACGTTTCTGTAGTTTTCGGGTTGTCCAGTCGGATCTCGTCACTCCGCCGTTGGCAGACAAAGTCGGACATGTGTCGCTGGCCCAGCGAAGAATTTTGCTTCCTGGGTCTTTCTTTCCAGGTCCAGTTGACTCTGGCCGTGCATGGATTCAGCGCGTCTTCCTCTGCCTGACAGCAGGGGGTTGAGAGATCCCGGGTTTCGGCACCAAATAATGATGGGTATTTTTCTCGAACCTATATAAAAGAACCACAGACAACGTATATGAATTTTATGGTCAAGCTTTTGCAAAAGGAGAAGTCTCCATCAACATCTCCTCCGGGCTGCTGACAGAGAGTTCTGATCTCCTTCCACTCGAGCCCCTGTTTTATTGTCAAAGAAAAACAGGCAAGGGGGCAGTCAGGAAAAACAACAGAGGTCGTAAAACTTCTAACCCAAACACTAGCAACCCAGTTCCAGGTGTGATATCTGATCTACGGTCTGAGCCCAGTTCAGCTCTAGGTCAAACTATCAACTAAGAAAAGGGTAAATAACACAAGAAGAATTTAAGGTCTGAGAACCACAGAGTTTGACTGTCTCACATGAAGATAAACAGACAGTCCTGACCTCCAGGTCAGTACATACACACATAAGGAAGAGAACACTTTAAACAGAAAATCACAATAATCTATAGACTGAATGTGAACTAAAGTAATAACAAAATGATAATACCAAAAATCTCTATCATCATGTCTCCAAGATGGGGATGGATATGAGATCATCTGTCCAAGCAGAAACAGGAAGTGAGATTTTTGAGATGCATGAAGGAAACAGGTGCAGAGGGCAAACAGAGAACTTCAGAAAGTTCAGTTCTAAAAAACAAGGGAGTTCATCTGAAGGTTGAGGCCAACCAAAAGGCAGTTGACGTCAAGGAAAAACGCATGTGAGGAAAGAAAGTGTGTGGCTGCTGATAAGAATAAAAAGACACCAGACAGGAGGATCGGGGTTCTTTGTTCCGCAGCGTTCGAGTCGAGCACACATGGAGATGCAGAATCAACGGAGGGCTGCGTGCTGATACCCCGGGACGATGAGACTGTTTGCTGCACAAGGAAGGAACAAGATCCGTTTACCCACAACCCGGGACTCTGATTCGACTGCGGCCCCAAACTCAACCCAAAAGATTACAACGATGCTGCAGTGGACATGGGGAATATACCAAGATCCTTTCTGGATAAAGAACTGAGTTTGTTGAGGATTCTCACCAGTTCAACTTTGGATTTATTCTAAAAGGATTCTGTCAAGACAAAGACAGGACTCCATCCATGGACGTTAAAGTTTTCTGCTGCCAAGAACGTCTCTGCATCTGGGTATTGAGTAATACTGCCTCCCCCAAAGCCTCTATTTAGATTAAGACACAGTTTAGGGTTAGAAGTAGGAGTAATTCCTAGAAATTCTTAAAGGTTTTGATGTCTTAATTTTTATTATTGAAATGCTGTATGTCTTTTTTCCCTTGCTAAAGCTTGCTAATAAAATACTAAAGTCTAATTTGATGTTGTGGACAGTTAAATTAATTGAGTCAACTAAATTTAATTCTTCTGATAATTATAAAACCAGTGTTAGTGGTCCTAGTAAATTAGGGTGGCTTCGTACGTTCTTTAGTTCAGATAAATAATGTCCCTGGGACTTATTCCTAGTCGCTAAAATTATCTAGGCCGGTAACAAGTGCACGTTAATTACAGGGAAGGAGCTGCCGTTAACAGATGTGGTTTATGAGCTCGAACACCGGCGGGGCTACTCCGATGTCTGAATCATGGACTGAAGCGGGGCATAACGTCTGGATGAAGGTAGTTAGAGCTTAGACAAATCCTTCTCGCGCCCAGCTTAAACAAAAAGTTCTCTAAATTCTTATTAGCGGTAATACTCGGGAATTGGAGTCTTTTCGGACCCGTGAGATGGAGAGCTGGTCAGTAGTCAGTCTGCCAGAGTTGGGAGGAGTTAAGGGCGTGGCTGAACACTGAGAATTAACAAATAATGATCATGGTGATGGGGGTGAATATTTAAGGTAATAATCATAATTTTTATTTGGTCTTTAGAAATATGACTTTGTTCTAAAGAAAACAAGTTAATATGAACTAAACTGTGTGTGATGGTGAATTTTGTTACAGGGATGAAGACGAATCGGTCCCTAAGGAACCCAGAGAGACGGACGGCTTGACAAAACCAGAAAATAAAGAAGGGCCTGTTGCTGAGGAACCCAGAGAGATGGACCCCCTGAAAACATCTTCATGATTCCAGATGTGCTGCAGCTGTGAGGGGGAGGAGCCTAAAGGAAGAGAAAGGAGAGAAAAACAACTGGAAACAAGAAAACAAGACAAGAAAACACAACAATGATCCAGAACATGAAGAATCAACTGAACACAAAACATGAAGTGTTTTGTGCTCTCTGCTGTCATGAACTGAAGTTCATGACAGCAGAGAGCTGGACGATGATGAAACTTTGATGAACTTCAAGAACTTCATTTGGAGGAAAAGAGATAAAAACTGTAAATTAAGATCATTATTTTATGTTGAAGTGCTTTTTTTTCTACCTTGAATATATATTTTTCAATAAAGTGTTAAACTGCTTCAAACGTTTTTTTACTTGCACAGTTTAGGGACCATTTTCATAATTAGTCCCTGCAGAGAGATCGTACTGAGGTGGTTGTTTTCCTCAGCAGGAACAGCAAAGCTGTTCAGAGTTGATAGAGAGACGGATGGAGACACATGTGGAAGAAAGTGGAGAAGAAGAGAAAAACCCAAACATAACATCCATTTTCTTTGACAGTTAACTCATCAGGGTCATGAGGGGAGCTGGAGCCGACCTCCAGATGTCAACAGGCGAGAGGCGGGGTCACCTGGACAGGTCACCCTGGACAGGTTAACCTGGACAGATCAACCTGGACCAGTCAACCTGGACCGGTCAACATGGACCAGTTAACCTGGACAGGTCACCCTGGACAGGTCAACATGGACAGGTCAACCTGGACCGGTCAACCTGGACCAGTTAACCTGGACAGGTTAACCTGCACAGGTTAACCTGGACAGGTCACCCTGGACAGGTCAACCTGGACCGGTCAACCTGGACAGGTGAACCTGGACAGATCAACCTGGGCCGGTCAACCTGGACCGGTCAACATGGACAGGTCACCCTGGACAGGTCAACCTGGACAGGTCACCCTGGACAGATCAACCTGGACAGGTCAATCTGGACAGGTTAACCTGGACAGGTCAACATGGACAGGTCAACCTGGACAGGTCAACCTGTCCAGGTTAACCTGGACCGGTCACCCATCCATCACAGACCTAAACATTTCAGCAAAACTCAAACATGAGGCAGAATGTTCTTCCCATCCTCCACAGTGACATGTGGTAGTGGCAGCATCATGCTCTTCACTGAGTTTAAGGGAATAAAAATGGAGCTAAATCAGGACAGTCCTGGAGGAAATGATCAAACAATGTAAGATTAGGGTGGAGTAGCCAGTAGTCAACTGGTTGGAAAAACAAGACCAGTACTTAGTGAAGTTGCTCCTGTTCAGGAGGAAAACATAACTAAACAAATATAGAACCAAATGTTTCATCTACTGAGAGTCAAAGTGAAACTATTAGCAGCTGATGACGCCTCCAGGAAAGAATTAAAGTCACAGCCAGCTGGTTGGGTGGGGCTGTTTCTACAGAAACATAAAACAGAGGCAGCATATGATTGTTAGAAGAAATAGTTGCAGCATAAGTGGAGAGCAGTAGGAGAAAGTAGCAGAGACAGTAAAAATGTTCCATCACTATCCAACATTATTAATAAATATAAGTTTCCTTTAGGCATCAGTGAGGTTCCTCTCTGCTCCACAATAAGGATATAATTAATTCTTAGATGTAGTTTCATGTTCATAGTTTGAAACAGTTCATATTTTACATGTTAATCTAGTTTTTTATAAGCTGTTTGGATTTTTAAGTAAACAATAGAAAATTTTCTGTCTTTGTGAAACTGATTCTTTTCTCATGGATGTCAAGAAGTAACTTGAACAGAAGCAAAAGGTTTTATCATGATAAGGAGAGCAGTAGGTGAATGTTTAAGACTTTCAGCAGTCGCCTGATTGGTTAGAAGTTTATTTTGACTAAAACTTCAACTTCCTGATGTTTTCTTCAGGAGTAACAAGTCTGCTGTACTTAACAAGACTTCATGGAATGTGGTTCTGCTACGTTCTGCACGTCTTTGTGAATCATCAGGTTTCAGCCACCAACTCCCTGTGAGCATTTCTTATATTCGGATCAGTGAACAGCTGATCAACAACAACATGGCAGAGACATTTTACTTTAAAACATTTTACTTTATAACATTTTACTTTAAAACATTTTACTGTAAAACATTTTACTGTAAAACATTTCTGTTCATGTTTTTTCTTCTGTCTGTTTCTGCATCAGGTGAGTTAAACATTTATTGTTCTTTGTTGGTTTGCTGTGATTTTCTTCTGGTTTTCAACCTGATGAACAAAAACCAGGAAACAGAATCACTGATGATGTTTCATGAAACATCATTATTATATTAGTATAAAATAATGAGATTACTGAAGAAGGATTTATTTCTATATTAAAAAATAAAATCTTTGCTTTATAAAGAAAACCTGATTAATTTCAGAATACAGACTAAATAACGACGTTGTGCTGGAAGTTTGAATCTGATTTTCATTTAGCTGCTCATATTAAGGACAAAATAAATATCTAGATTTTTCTGCCCTGCTAGTTTAAATTAAACTGTATTAAATATATTTAACACTTCATGTGATTATGTTTTATTTCTAATTCTAATCTAATTCATCCAAACTGACATAAAACCTTCACTCTGTGTAAACTTGGGTGTGTTCAGTATATTTTTTCCTTTTTTAATAAATATAGTTTATTTTTCTTTTGATTTCTTATTTTTTTAATTAACACTGAAAATGGGGAACAGATGTGAGGCTTTTTTCATAATTATTTATATATAATTTTATAACCAGATAAAGATGAAAACATTTATACATTAAAACCTTTAAACTTTATACTTTCACTTTAAGCAGAAAAAGGCCAAATATTTTTCATTTTGGCTAAAAGTCATGAAGTAAAATCAAACTATGGATTCAGAATGATCCATTTATAAATGTGTCATTACTTCCTTCAGATCTTTAGCATTAAAATAAAAGATTAAACTCTGAGCTCTCAGTGAAATCTTATCCAACACGACTGAAGACATTTTGTCTTTCTAAATATCTGAACCAACAGAACCAGTTTCCTTACATTCATCTAAACTCACAGCTCTACAAACTTCCTGTTTGGAAAAGTAGTTTAACGTTTTACCTTTAAAATTAAATCCTGTTTTCTGATTATTTAAATCATCTAAACTTATTCCAGTTTGTAATCTTGAAAATGTTCTTAAATATTTCATTAAATTAATGTTTCTTTATAATTCACAATGTGGTGGATTGATGATTTTTTGTTTGAGTTCATTTTGTTAGTTTTGTCTCAAATTCACTGAGAGCTTTTATTAGTGAAATATAAAACCAAACAATGTATCACATGTGTATCGGTTACAGTCGTATATTTTAGACTTCGGTTTAACTTTCCCTCGATCTTCATTTGGACTTTAATAACAAAGTCATTTATTTCCTCACAATGTCCATCATTTTCCCATTTAGACCAAAACAGATCAACAAAACCCAAAACCACACATTTACAGTATGAACAGCCTGGACTGACTGAACGAGAAGCATCTTAGTTATTTAATGATTATGAAGCTGATTTGGACAGAAAAACCTAAACATGAAATCTGAAGTTAAAATATTTCCTTCCTGCTGCAGATCCAGAGGTTTCCTGTGTTTTCAGACAGAGCTGCTTGTTGCCCTGTCAGATCCAGCTTGGCTCTGATCCACTCATCCACTGGTACCAAGTGTCAGCTGGAGATCTTCTGGTTCACTCCTACTATCACAACAAAGACCAGCTGGGTAAGCAGAACCAGAACTTTAAGAACCGGACGTCACTGATCCTGGATCAGATCTCCACAGGAAACGCCTCCCTGCTGCTGAAGGAGGTGAAGATCCAGGATGAGGGAAGATATAAATGTTACACCAGCACCAGCACAGGATATAAAGAATCATTTATAAACCTGCAGACAGAAGGTAGAACTGAGTTAATATCTATTTAACATCTATTTCAGCTGATTTTCTTTGTTTTTGATGCATTTTCTCCTGCAGCTCCAGTCTCTGACATCAGGATCCATCAGGATGGAAACAGGATCACCTGCAGCTCAGAGGGGATCTACCCTCAACCTGAACTCACCTGGTCCACTGAGCCTCCATCCAACACGACTCTGAATGAAACTACCAGGATCCAGAAAACTGAAGATCAGCTTTACAACATCAGCAGCTCTCTGACGGGTCCAGATGGTCCAGATCTGACCTACAGCTGCAGCATCAGAACCAGGAGGAACCAGAAGACAGAAACTTTTATAAAACCAGGTGAGAAAACTGGAGAACAACTACTGATGTTTGTTTAAATTTATATCATCGTTATTTTCAGAAGAAGATTAAATCTTTATTTTCTCCTCTCTGATGGTAAAAACTGTAGAGAATGAGGCGAAGCAATAAGTTTTATCTCCCAACTTTACAGATCTAGAAACAGAAACAACTAAATCAGAAAACAAAACCATTTTCTTCAGATACATAATTGATGACATTCCTTTACCTTTTATATAATAAATATTATTTTCTCATCTGTGAAACAGCCTAATAACCTCTCTGTCCTGCTGCTGTTTGGCTAAATCACACAGTAACATTAAACTTTTCCATCTCTTTTTATGCAGAATCTGTGCAGAAAGATGAAGATTTACCCTGGTGGCTGATTGGTGGTTTGATTGCAGCAGCAGTGGCAGTAATAATAATCATAGGAGTGACAGTCTGGTATAAATGTAAAAAAAGGTAAAACTACTTCCTATGTTCTGTTTTAAATTTACTGCTGTTGTTCTCTGAACTGAATATTTCTATTGTCCTAAACAAAACAAGCCATTTATTCATTTTCTGTCTGATTTATTATTTCATTTGACTGAAAAGTAAAAAGAGTAAAAATGGAACAAAATCAGCATCAGATGGAAATCAACAAGGCCCAGAGAAAGTAAACAATCAAAACTCTCAGTGTTGTGGATAAAATACTTTTTAAATGCTTAAAGTGAATATTTGTCACTTTACTGACTGAAAACTGACATTATACATTTTACTATCAAGTGAAAATCATGTCTTGATTCATCTTAGTTCATTTTCTCCCAAAGATTTTCTGCAAGAACAAAGAAAAGTTTTATTTTCTGTCATAACAAGATCAGGACTGTTTAAAGGAAAACAAACATAATTTAAACTCCTTTAAACTCACAATGCAAATTAAAATATATATTTAAAAAGAACTTATTCAGATAATGATCATGGTGATGGGGTGAATATTTAAGGTAATAATCATCATTTTTATTTGGTCTTTAGAAATATGACTTTGTTCTAAAGAAAACAAGTTAATATGAACTAAACTGTGTGTGCCTAAAGGAAGAGAAAGGAGAGAAAAACAACTGGAAACAAGAAAACAAGAGAAGAAAACACAACAATGATCCAGAACATGAAGAATCAACTGAACACAAAACGACACAGAACTGAAGTTCATGACAGCAGAGAGCTGGACGATGATGAAACTTTGATGAACTTCAAGAACTTCATTTGGAGGAAAAGAGATAAAAACTGTAAATTAAGATCATTATTTCATGTTGAAGTGATTTATTATTTTCTATCTTGAAAATATATATATATATATATATATATATATATATATATATATATTTT